GAAGGCAATTCAGCTGTGAGACCAGAACGGGTGGATCCTAGACCCATTTAAGGGCTGACTGCGACTGAGGAAGGATCTCTTTTTGGAGATCTTTCCTTTTGGAGTTTTCTACTGTGAGTCTGGATCATGGGTGAGCATTTCAATTTTGGTTGTCTCTTTCCACTGTGATAATTTTTTTAACTATAAACCTGTAAAATGCTATCTACCCATGCCAATCTTCTAACTGTTATTAATTATACAGTACTATATCATATTCTTTCATTCATGTAGCTCAGTAGCTTTAATATTTGTCTATGTAGTTGTGATTTTCTTTTTTTAATTTTTTTTCTAATTTCTGTGCCTCATTAACAAAATATGTGATCCTCAGCAGAAGTATGGAGAGAGCATGTAGTACTGGATAATAATGAAGTCGGTAGAAGCTGGTAGCTGCAAGTTCATAGAACATTTAAGTATGTCCATAAAGCTGTAAAAGTAAAAGAAGGTTCCTTTTTTTGTTGTTGTTCTTTTCTTTATAAGGAAAATTAAAAGTCCTGAGTTCTGAAAGAGCCTGTAATACTCAAGAGAGTGATCAAGTCTACGATATTCAAGTTGAATATAGACTGTTTCCATGTTTGATTTTGTGTCAAGGTACGGAGCACGCAACTAGGTTTTAGTTGCTTCGTGTTAATGAGAACCAGTCCCTGAAAATATGACTATTAAACCCAAAAGTTCAGTGTCTTAAAAACCCACTTTTAAGAAGTCAACCAATCAAGCAGATAGACTTGCTTCAAATATCTGTAGTTCTATCTTTTTTTGTTATATCTACCAGTTATTAATTCAGTGATAGAAGCTTCCATCTGAACAAACAGAATGTTTTTGATCACATCCCTAGTTGAGATTCATGATGCCCATCACAAGTTCTCCTGCACATGAATGGTTCTTTTTACCATTAAAGTGAAGTGTTGCTGTCATTTCTTTTCTTATTACACAGCTAAATGATGATTGCCAGAAACTATAGGAACGTATATGAGAGATAATGTTTATGTATTTGCTGCCATTAAATTTTTCCCTCATCTGCTAACTCAACCCAATACTGACAGCAAATTAAACTAGTTGGGTGCTTTTGTCTCCTTCTTATGGTGCTTTTTTTAAGTTATTTTGTAATACTACAATGCATTTGTTTTCTTCTCAGCAAAGGAATAGGGAAAACAAGTGCCCCTATTTCTAACAAGTTTGAAGGTGATGGAATAATAGAATTATATAATGGCTTGTGTTGAAAGGGACCTTTAATAACATCTAGTTTTAATTCACCTGCTCTACCCACCTCTCATTAGACTGGGTTGTTCAAAGCCCCAACTGGTTTGGTCTTGAACACTGTCAGGGTAGGTAGATCCTCAACCTCTCCAGGCAACCTGTTCCAGTGTCTTACCACCCTCAAAGTAAAGAATTTCTCCCTAATATCTAGTCTAAAATGGATAGTCCATTTTATGGACATAGCTGCATTTTTATCCTCTCTGTTTTGATGTCTTTCCAAATCTATTCAGTAGACAGAATTGACAGCAGTCTTCAAGGTAAAAAATGCAAATGCATTTACTGCAAAGTAAAGTGTAGAGAGGGGCTTCTCACATTCTTTGTAGTAAAACAGCTGTTTCTCATCAATTGAAGCAACTTAAGTCAGTTGTGTTCTAGAAGAGACAAAGTTCATTATCATGTCTCACAGCTCTTTAACACAGAGAGTAGTGCTTGCTTCACTAATGGCTTGCTTATATAATACCATCAGAACAATTTATCCCTGAGAGACAGAAAACATGCAGAAGAGATAACTAATAATCTGGGCTGCCTACTGTTAGCAATAAGTTTTGATGGACATTTCAACACTGCCTTTCCACACTACAGCTCTGCGAGCATTAGCATTACTTGCCTGATTGTACTTGCCAATGTCTGCCATCATTTAGAATGGAAAAAATCTTCAAGACCAACAGTCAAATAACCAATCTAACCTACCATATCCCATCACTAAACCATAGTTCACATGTTTCTTTCTAGGAGCATGAGCTCCATCATTTTCCTTTTTTTAAAAAAAAAAAATAAATAAATAAATAAAAAAATTTAAGACCTTGGCCACCTCTTCTGTGGAGAAAATTCTTACTATCCAGTCTACACCTCCTCTGGAACAACTTGAGGCCATTTCTTTGAATTCTATCATTTATAATCTGAGAAAATAAACAGACGTGATGCACAACAGAAGTTCTATGGAAGCTTTTGCATTTTCTCTCTTCAGTGCAAGGTAAGGGTTTTTTAGCCCAGCCAGTGTAACTAACTTTATTTCAACAGTAAAATATCTCACCAAATATCTAGACTGGGTTTTAATTCCACTAAGACTGGTCTCAGTTACGTAGTAATGTATTTGCTTTGACCATACTGCCATTTTTTCCTTTTGAGTGTCAGCATTTTTGGAAGGCCTTGTATTTTCTCTGCCTTAGAAGCACCACTTTGTAAATGTAGGGAGGAATTACCTTCTAACACTACGAAACACTGCAAGAACAGGATGAATTTTTGTCCTTTTCCAAAATGTATCCACCTGGATTTGCGGATTAAGGAGTCTACTTCCTTTTCTATCCCAAGGTAATGTATAAGGGGGTGTATGAGGCATGGAAGAGTATCATCTGGGATAGTAAGAATGCTATTTGGAAATTTCTAGTGTAATTTATTTTTGTTAGATAATGAAAAGTAATGCTAGTCCTGAAATCAATGCAGGGATTATGTACTGAATTAACTTTAACAGAACATGTACTTCATCAGGAAGTATTTAACACAAAATTACAATCGGCTTTATTCTAAAAACAATTTGCATTTCTAGGCCTACTCTATTTAGTTACAAATCGTATGGATTTCTTTGAAGAGCAATGCCCTTTTTTCACTGGTGCATATTCAAAGTGAATTAGAGCATAAGTTTTATAGCGCCAATGTTTCAATTAGCACTTAATATTTGTAACTGGTTTGTCAATGTGTATCTTATTGTATTTTTTATCTTTACTCACCATTCAACTGATTTCTATTTCCATTTATTTTAACAAAATAAAATCAGAAGTTTAAATGATATACTGATTAGATTTCTTCTCTCTTCACCTATAGCAAATGTCCTCTAAGACCATGAGGGGAAGGTATTCAAATCTGCAAATTTTTGTTGAAATGGAATGTAAACTTTTTTTTTTTTTTTTTTTTTTTCAGAAATTTTATGTTGAATACTATGTTTGACGCAAGAGCCTTTTTGAGGCCCTTTTAAGGCCACAACATTCAGTTGTTGAGTATAGCATACACATATAAAACATAATTTCAAGTGCAAGGTCTTGCACTGAGGTTGTGGTAAATGCCACTCTCAGTAAAAGCTAGGGAAGGTAAGGGTGGAGCACAGCCTTGCCAAAAAGTACCTGGCCATACTGGTGGATGGCAAGCTGGACATGAACAAGTAGTATGCCCTCAAAGTCCCAAAGCCAACTGTATTGTGGACTGCATCAAAAGATGCTTGGCCAGCAGGGTGAGGGAGGTGATCCTGCCCCTCTGCTCTGCACTGTTGAGGCCTCACCTGAAGTACTGTGTCCAGATGTGGAGTCCTCAATACAGGAGAAAGACAGATCTATTGGGATGTGTTCAGAGCAGGTTCAAAAAAAGGATCCAAGTGATGAAAAATCTCTCCTATGAGGACAGGCTGAGAGAACCAGGGGTTTTCAGCCTGCGAAAGAGATGGTGGATGCCTCATCCTTGGAGATATTTCAGATCAGGCTGAACCAGGCTCTGAGCAACCAGTTCTAACTGTAGATGTCCCTGTTCATGGTAGGGGAGTTGGAAAGGATCCTTAAAAAGTATTCTAGTCCAACTCAGAGTTTTCTGAGATTCTGTAAGTTCCAGACACTTCTGTTGTTTAAAATTATTCCATAATACATGTGTCCAAAATTTTGGCTTTCCTGGGCTGTATGGAATGAAGAGGAATCGTTCTGGGCTGCATTTAAAATATGTAATACAGCTAATAGATATATATGTATGTATAGCAACTTTTTTAAAAAATATTTTTTTAAGAAAGCATTAAAAAAGGGCAACAAATACATAAAACTCTTTGGATATTTGACCTTCTTTTTGTGAAAGTAATACATCAATATCTGGTTCAATATCAGTAGTTGCAATTCATAGTGAGTTCTCAAGGTGTTCATCAGAGATGTTTGACCAAATTTTATTCTTCCTGTATTGCATTGTTGAAAATATTTTTTCACAAATGTACCACCAAAAATGCAATGACATGAGTAAGGTGCCAGGAATAATCTCTCTTATGAAGAGAGTTGTTTTTCTCTGGTAAAATAAGTTTCATAAAAGTCTAGCAAGGAAATATGATCTATATTTTCTTTTCAACTCGGTCTTTTTGCAACTACGTACATTTCACTTGAAAATTATCTGGTAATTTATATTGACTAAAAATTGAATTGCAAAAAATCCATGGGTTTTTGGCAATTTTGAACTTATTTTCAAATTCCTATATCAAAAGAGCAAGCATGGCTGCATATTTTCCCACTGTTCACAGGACTATTTAGTCAGTGTAACAAACTGCACAAAATTATTCACCGTAACTTGAGTCAGCACTGTGCATTGTGCCCCATGCCTGGGTTTTAGCTCAGACTGTACCAATCATCCACTGACATTTATTTATTTATTTATTTATTTTTAGGTTGTTGCTGAGGGATTGATGGTGGCTGGGAATGGGCGAGGCTGCTTGGTGTGGCAGAGACGTTTTCATGATAGGCAGCTGCATGCAGCCTGTAGGCCAAGGGTTGGAACTATCTGCCTGTATGGGAACTGCTGAATCATGTCCTGAACCTCTGATTGATCACCTGAAGTGAGCAATGAGTCAGCCCTGGGAGCACAGGTGAAGGCAATTCAGAATTGTGCTGCCAGAAGGGGTGGAGCCTGGCTGCACCTCTCCTAGACCCATTTAAGAGCTGACTACCAGTGGGAAAGGATCTCTTCTGGAGATCCCTCCTTAGAGTTCTGCAGTGAGCCCAGGATATGGGTAAGCTTTCTATCTATTTTCTTCTTGTTATTATAATCTGCTTTTCCAAGCTCTCTTGTTTATTTCATAATTATAATATCTGTATATTCATTGACTATACACTGCCATAATAATTCAGTCTACAATTGTGGTAGGTGGCTTTGTTCACATAAATGTATGTAATTCACTAGTAAGGTTAACTATATTACTTTGAATCTATAATTACAATAATTACTGGATATTAGAAGCTAAAAATGGCTAAGAATACATTTGCAGTTTCAAGTGAATGTATAGGTCAGCTCATTTCTCAGAGTGTTAGAAGTCTGTGGTATTTTACACAATTATTATTATTTTTTTTTTGCTCTGTATGACAAGGAATATACATATCTGCAGAGAAAATGTAACTAGAAGACAAAAAGTACATTAAAAAGGAAATGTATTATTTCAGTCCAAGTCATGTGACATCTTAAAGGAGCTCTTAAACAGAAGATAAACAGAGAGCACTTAAAATTGAAGAATACATTTGCAGGGTGTTTACCCTGTCTCTCCTGCTGCCATAGTTATCTTAATCAGCTAACAATATGTCCATATCATTATCAGTTAGTATCAGCAGTGTTCACAGCTCTGCAAAAGCTGAAGTGATTAATGGTGCCAGTTCAGACTGGGGTTTGGCATTCTCAAAGAATAGCTGATTGTCACCAGTAATGTATTAATTAATCTAATTTCTCTCTTGATTTATACTGCAAAGTCTGGGATTTTCTTTTCTTTGTAAGCTGCTGCTGTTTCCTCTTCAGCAATTGAAGTAAACTTTGCATCATTAGAATAAGCTTGACTTTGTCTTATCCAGATGGACTAGAGGTAAAGGTAAAGCAGTGCAAGACTGTATCCCCGAACATCCTTCTACACTCCACTTATCCCATGTGGCTGTGTCAACTACCTCAGCATCAGTGCTATCTGGATGTCCTCGAGTCCCCAGGTCACTAATTTACATCTGGACTGTTAATTTTGGAGGAGGGACAGCTGAGAGGAAATCTCATTACTATTTATAAATCTCTTAAGTGTGAGGGTCAAGTCAGTGGGGACAAACTCTTCTCAATGGTGAGCAACAATACAAAAAGGGGCAATGGGAAGAAACTGGAACACAGGAAGTTCTGTACAAGAAAGAACTTTACTGATAGAGCACTGGAATAAAGTTCCCACAGAAGTTGTGGAGTCTCCTTTTCTGAAGGCATTCAAAAGCCATCTGGATTTACTGTAGGGAAACTGCTTTAGCAGGGAGTTGGACTTGGTGATCTCTATGAGTCCTTTCCAACCCCTACAGTACTGTGATTCTGTGAAGCTCACGTTCACTGATGTCTTTACCTGTTCTCCCAGCATGAAGAGCAGCACTGGAGGTCTCTGTACTCTCGGGGATCTGCCACATCATAGCTGTGTTTCTTTACTGCTATCATCAACTTAGAGCAGAAATGGTCCTTTTCTGTACTGAGTTCCTTCTGCTTTACACAGCAGAGAGCAAGAGGACATCTTTTGTTTTACCTGTTTATGATGATACATAGTCACACAGTAGCACTGTCAGACAGAGGCCAAGGCAGCATCTGCCTGTCTCTAAAAGTCAGTTGGTGCATCAGTCCAATACTCTTCTCTGAAGTTCTGTTAGGTTCAGGGCTCAGAAATCCTGGAGTTGAGTTAAAGAGTTTTTGTCCATAGTGCACTATTAGCAACCAGTGCAAGTTTCCAAGCCTGATATTTTTGGCTCATTCTAAAATTCTGTAAGGACAATTTTTCTATGGATTATTTCTTCATAAGCTGGAAAAAAAGAGGTTAACAGAATTTAAAGAAGGAATTTCAATACTGCTACAAGATGTCTCTCTGGTCTGCCTCCTCTGTGCAAAAGCTGAATTATGTCATAGTTTAGTAGATATAAAACAGTTAGTCCCAGTACTCTCTTCCTACCAGTGGAATATTTATGATCAAGTCATTTTTTTGCATTATTGTCATTTCAAAATATATCTCATGCAGGGAGCATGTAACTGATAAATATATCTGAGAGCAGCTTAGCATGCCGAGTTGTATGGACAATTTTGTGCCTAGACTGTCTTCTCTTCAGCACGTCTTTACAAATAAGGCTTTTTCTTTTGAGGAAGAAATGGTACCCATGTAAACATGTCTTCATGTACATAGTATGGAACAGAGCACCCTTGGCTGTATGATCTGCAAAAGTTGCACAGGAAAATGTTTCTGCTCTCAAGCAGCAGGACACAGATAAACCTACTGCAGAAATGTGTAATCTAGTTGTATATTTTAACACAAAATATAGCAAGAAATATTTCTTTCCAGATTTACTGTATCTTGGTAATTATATTCTGCTATTTATCTTAAGTTACTTGAAGGCTCAATCTTGTGTGGTCTGCTTCCCCATGCAGTTGGGTATATACATTTCCTCTTTCTCAACAATAAGAGGAACTATTTAAACACCTTTTGACATGAATGTGTTCTTGTACCACAGAAACTACAAAGTAATATAAAATAATTGTTATGGCACTATATTCAAACACTAACACAATGGTACAGCACTAATGAGTACACTAGGGTGTAATGCGCAAAGTAGATGGATTACTCAAAGGGCTAATAGACACACTATTAGATGTTAAGCTGGATTTGCATAAGATATATTTTCAGCAATATAATTGATTTCACAGCACGTGGATAATTCTTCCTTTGATTCCATTGTAACGCTGTTTCTGAACATCTGTATTTTTCCTTTGTGTACTGGAACTTATAATGCCATAGCCTGATAAGAAGTTCAGTCATAAGGCCATTGAAATAATGGAAACCATAGGTGAGGACTGTGACAACAGCATTGTATGCAAAGTATTGTTAGGTGACAATCACATTGTATGTGAAAATTTAAGTAAAAATTCAAAGCTCAGCTAGTCTCTGCTTATGATGATATTCTAAGTGTCTTGGCAGTAGAGATAGGAAGTAGTAAATAATAGATAATTGGGGAAATAAAAATCAAAAGTACAATTCTAGAAATTGATAATGACTCAGGGAAAATGCAATGCAAAACTGACTTCATTAGAATAAAACAAGCTAAGAAAATAAAGTACCAATGTAGTTGGCACTATGCAGCCTGCTTGAGTTCCTGCAAACAGTGAAGACTGGAAATTGAAGAAAGAGGTGGGAGAAGGAAGTGTAGATAATGTTTGGCAGTAACAGCAGATAATTAAACTGACTCCAAAAAAAAAAAAAGTTCTCAGTTAAGAATATTTCAGTAACTGCTGTTTTCTTTGTATAATTTTCCTCTTCTGTGTAAAAAGTGTGCTCATGGAAACATTCTTCTTTAGATTTTGTTTACTTCATAAAACTGAATTATTAGCTTTATCTACTGAGTGACAATCTCACCCATGGCTGGAGGAATAGAACTACGTACGTTGCTTCAAAAGTAACATTCCTATTTATTTTGGTGGAAACTGCAACAAATACAAAGAGCACAAGAACACCACTTCATAGACAAAATTCTCAGCTACAAAACACTATTTTTCAACACTGTCATCACTATTAGCTATGGATTTTCACCAGACATGAGCAAGAGTCTACATGCAGTGCAAACATGGCTCATCTTTCATGTTGTTGTTGCCACTGTTGAAATGCGCCACTCACTCTGCTCACACCCACTGTTTGATCTCCATAAATGTTCAGTAAGCATTGATAAATGTTAATGGCTGCAATTTTTTTTTTTTTTTTTTTTTTTTTTGCATGGAGGAATTCTGTGACACCACTGCTTCATAGGCACTTCCAATTCAGACACCATTTTGTCAGACAGCCCCTCTGCTGCCATCTGTCACACAGCAAGAAAAATGTAATGGAATATTGGTAGGAAGGTCCAACTTCTACTGTCACACCACTGACATCTGCCTCTTGTATCATGGTTCAACATCATAAAATTGGAGATGTTACTTTCAGAGTTGCTGTTATATATGATTTTAAGTTTCCTGAACCCACACCATTCTTTAATTTTATGAATCTATAATATGAATCTATAATATTAAAGAAATAGATTCTGGAAGTAGGAAATTTGAAAAGGGGATGCCTACAGAGGCTCCCTTGTCTTAAAAATATTGCTTTGAGTACTGCTAAATACAGAAAAATGCAAATTTTATTTATATATATATATATATGTGTGTGTATGTGTATATATATATATATATGAATATATATATATACATATATATATGTATATGGGCATGTTTTACCTCTTCTTTCTAAATATACCACAATTTCCTCTCATTCATTTTCTATGTATATCACTGTTATTGTCTTGCCATTAACACCTTTTTCCAGGTGCAATGTGTACATATTTCAATATCATATTTTAATGCAAAAATTCATTTACATTATTCACGCATTATTTACAACCTGTGCAGATCGCTATTTCAGATGGATTTTTTAACCCTCTGTTTTCTGTTGCCTTTATGATTTCACACATGCCATTTTCCCATCCTGCTGAATACTGCATTGCATTTGATCCTATTTCTAAGCTGCTCCATTTCCTTGAAATATTGTCAGCCACAATTTAACCTTTTATGTGCATTATATTGAAAACTGTTGATGATGCCAAGAATTTGATGGAGTGGGAAGAGTGAAAGATTGAGCTACACATTTCAAGTGTGTTTACCTTAGTTAAAACATCAGCAGTAATCAGGTGCACTCTCCTCAAACCTCTGACATCTAAGTTCTGTCCTACTGCTGAAACTCCACAATGAGACCATCATAAGTAAATCCTTCACCTTTTATCACTGTCACTTTCATCTTTACCGTCTCCTTTCCACCCCCCAATCCATCATTAAAAGAAAATCAGACCCTAAAGCTCTCAATTCTAATTGAAATAAATTTTTTTTTTCCTTTCCTTTTCTTTGGGAAAGATACTGAGATACTGAGATATTATATAGGCATTATTCCTGCTACGCAAAAATAGTTGTCACTTTAAATTACTTGAGATGTAATTCTAACTAGATGGG